AATTAGTGCAATACCACTTATATACCTATAAACCATTAGGCTGGCAAGATAAAAAACTTTGAACCCATTTTTCTCATAACTATGCTTTGCGTAGTTACTGCGGTTATGCTTTGTAGGGCAGTATAGAAGACGTCTTTTACACATAGAAAGTTAGAAAAGTTAGAATAGAAAAGATATGAAGCCATTTTTTTCAACTATTAGCTTTTGGAGTTATTAATAGTGACTGCTACCACAAGCCCACCTGTCTATAGCCTCAACTAGTTCAATTATTTTTCTTTTTTCTTATCGTCTTATATTTTATCTAATACGTCACCTAAGATTTTATTTGTTTGTTTGTTTGTCAGCTACTCTGGGCTGTCTGGAGTTCACCCTCCTCTACGAACAGGAGACCCACGCTCTGCATTGCTGTATCGTTAAAGCCAAGGTGAACAAACACACACACGCGCGCGCACACGCACGCACACGCACGCACACACACACACACAGTCGACCCTGTCGATACTCCTCTGTCTGCCTGCGGTACGTGGATGTTTTAGGTCAGACGGGAACACTTAGAGGTTGAGCGGACGTGACGAAAATACGCAACTGGCAGCTGATCTTATTGTTATTGTTGTCTTATTGTGAATATATTGTTGGGTGAAAAGACAGAGCGGGGGGGGGAGACGGAGAGAAAGTCAGAGAGATGTGTCCCCTGTTGTGGATTTAAATGTCCACTACAGGCTAATTAGTGAGATGAAGTCTGCAGCAGGAGAACAGGAGAAGCCACAGAGCATGTCCCGATCTCCCCAAGCCGCTCTCTGGCGGCTTCATTATATAGGGTGTGTGTGTGTGGGACCTCTCCACAAACTCCTGCGAGAACTCATCATAAAGTTACCCGCCAGTGCGTCGCCTGCGAGCTCAGGCAACCATTTGTGATAGATACAGCTGGGATAGGGCAAACGTACCGGTGATTAAAGTAGCGCAGGACTCCAATAAACATCGTTGAGTTGCACGTTGTCGGGATGCCGTGGATAACAACAGCGTATTGTAATTTCCCATGACACCCACTCGCTCCAAACCTTCCTCGTCTTCAGGGTCTGAAGCCGATGGACTCCAACGGTCTGGCCGACCCCTACGTCAAGCTACACCTGCTGCCCCGGAGCCAGCAAGGTATCACCTCCCCCACGTCTGAGTACAAGTGATTATTCCTTACAGATATTAGTTTAGTTTATCTTCCTTTCAGAGTCCGTCCCGATCCACCACCCCCCCCCCCCCCCACCCCCCCCCCACACCCCCTCCGCCCTCTTGTCTAATTAAATTGAATTTTATATTCCTTTAATTTAATATTCAAAGAATGAAATAAGATTAGCTTATTGGATTGTATTTCTAAATATACCAATGTCAAAACATTTTGTCTGTATTCATCTAGCGTCTGTCTCTTTCTCTTCTTTCTGTTCTCCTTTGTCCTCTCTCTCTCTCTCGTCTCTCCTTCCTCTTTCCGCCCTCTCTCTCCTCTCTCCTCTCTCCTCTCCTCCCTCCTCCTCTCTTTTCGTCATCCTGTGTCGTACGTTTAGTCGAATAAACTTCGTACCAAGACGTTGAAGCACACCTTGAATCCTGTGTGGAATGAGACGCTGGTGTACCACGGCGTCACCGACGAAGAGATGACCCGCAAGTCACTCAGGTACCCCCAATACACACATACACAACACACATACTGACTCTACAGATATACACACATACACACATACTGACTCTACAAATATTCACACATACACACACTAACTCTACAATTATACACACATACACACATACTAACTCTACAAATATACACACATACACACATACTGACTTTACCATTATACACACATACTGACTCTACAAATATACACACATACACACATACTGACTTTACAAATATACACACATACACACACACTGACTCTACAAATATACACACATACACACACTGACTCTACAAATATACACACACACATACTGACTCTACAAATATACACACATACACACATACTGACTCTACAAATATACACACATACACACATACTAACTCTACAATACACACATACTGACTTTACAAATACACACACACACATGCTGACTCTAAAAATATACACACATACACATACACAAATAAATAGACAGACAGTTAGATAAGTGAGTGGTCTCTCTCTCTCTCTCTCTCTCTCTCTCTCTCTCTCTCTGTCTCTGTCTCTGTCTCTGTCTCTCTATCTCTATCTCTCCCTCTCTGCAGTCTGTCAGTGAGTGGTAGAGAGACAGATAGATAACATGCTCTCTCTCTCTCTCTCCCTCTCTCCCTCCCCAAGCTGTGAATGGTAGAGAGACAGATAGATAACATGCTCTCTCTCTCTCTCTCTCTCTCTCTCTCTCTCTCTCTCTCTCTCTCTCTCTCTCTCTCTCTCCCTCTCTCCCCAGGCTGTCAGTGAGTGACGAGGATACGTTCGGTCATAATGAGTTCATAGGAGAGACCCGCGTGGCGCTGAAGAAACTCAAGTTCAACCAGAAGAAGAACTTCAACGTGTGCTTGGAGAGAGTGGTCCAGGTGAGAACAAATCGCGACACTGGGTCCGGTCCGTCCTTGGAGGAGAGACCAGATGGTGCTGGTAGAGGTGTTGGAGGACCAGTAGGGGGTCGTCCCTCTGGCCTATGTAATATCCCCAATGTCCCCAGACGAAGAGCGCCGTGTTTCGGGTGAGACGTTGAAACCGAGGTCCCGACTCCCTGTGGTCACTAAAGATCCTGTGGCACTCGTCCCAAGTAGAGTAGGGTTCTGGTGTCCTGGCCCAATTCCCACCCTGGCTCTTGCAACAACATGGCCATCTAATCATCCCCTGGTCTCTGAGCTAGTAGTGGATGAGTAGTCTAACCCCCCCCAACACACACACACACACACACTATCGGTGTCTTGAAAATCACTATATAAATGCATGAATTATTATTAACACTCTCTCTCTGTCTCTGTCTCTGTCTCTGTCTCTCTGTCTCTGTCTCTGTCTCTGTCTCTCTGTCTCTGTCTCTGTCTCTCTCTGTCTCTCTCTCTCTCTCTCTCTCTCTCTCTCTCTCTCTCTCTCTGTCTCTCTCTGTCTCTGTCTCTCTCTCTCTCTCTCTCTCTCTCTCTCTCTCTCTCTCTGTATAACTGTAACTAGCTGCATTTTTCTTCTCTGTATTCAGTTTTTGTTTCGTGTTAGATCAAGGTAATGTGTAGTGAAGTGAAGTTCTCTCTCTCTAACTCTCTCTTTCTCTACCTCCTCTCTCTCTCTTTCTCCCTTGGTCCCCCTCTTTCTGTCTCTGTCCCTCCCTCCCTCCCTCCCTCCATCCCTCCCCCCTCCCTCCCTCCCTCCCTCCCTCTCCCCCTACAGGTGAAGAAGGCAGTGGGATCATCGAGGGGCATGGCTCTCTATGAGGATGATGTAAGACACGTTTATCACATGACCTGTACTATACATGTCAGGTGACCCGTGTATTTTATACTACTTATAGACATGTACAGCAGACGTATACATAGTTGAGCGCATGCTTTCAGGTGAAGGATGGTGATTCTCACTGCTGACACGTAGCTATAGTAGTATCACACATCAGAAGGACTGCTGGATCTGAGATTAGACAGATAGATACAGTGTGCATGTATAGTCCATGGGTGCTTGCAGGGGAAGTCTGGTTGGTGAGACATTCGTTAGACATATGGACATATAGATAAACATAGAAATAAAATCATAGTCGAGTGTGTGGGTGCTTGTAGGGGGAAGGAGGGTGAAAACATGAGACTTATATACATACACACATATAGATATAGATAAATATACATACATTGAGTACACAGTTTAGTTGATCCATGCTTCCAGATTCATTTTTCAATATTAATTTTAATTAATATTGAAATATTGATTAAAATATTGATTAATTAATAGTCATTTTTTGTTTTTATTTAAATTGTATGCCAATGTCTTGTCTGTTACGGTGTAGATAATGACCTTTGGACCCCAGAAGGAGTAGCTGGTTGTCAAGGCCTCAGCTAATTGGGATCCTTATAATAAACTAATAAACTAATGAAGGATGGTCATTTAGACTAGAGTTCGACCGATGAATCGTTTGGCCGATTCGTCGGCACCGATGGGACGTGGAGGCGTACTTCCCCGTTTTGCATGGCGGCTCCATACAAGAAGTTATGGTCATTGTATACCTGAGATAATATCGATTTAAATTATGAGCATGATAAGGTTGCTGGCGATAGCCTGGCATCATTATTGCATTAGACTGAAGATAACTGCTGCTCTGCCGAAAGCATACCGTGTTTTATTTGGCAACGTGGTGTGTAAGTGCAAGCCCAGCACAACTACGGGCCAATGGCCATATCTGATCATTTGAGGGCCACTTTTGCTGAAAAAATATCTGTGGACGTGTTACTTCTTCGATTTTATGAGACGAGCGCTGGCACTCGACCGGGGGAGGGGCAGCCATAAATGCGCGTCTTTAAATTAATGTATCATATTTTTAGCTGTCGGCCGATTAATCCGCTATCGGCTTTTCCCTGCTCCAAACTATCGTTTTTATATCGGCCTTTAAAAATCCACTCTCGGCCGACCTCTGCTTTAGACTACTAATAGCCGTACGTATACTGTATGATACCTGTACATACTGTATGTATACAGACAGCAGAGTGTGGCTGGGTGTTTGCAGGGCAAGGATGGCGAGGACAGCGAGGAGCGCGGCCGCATCCTGGTGTCTCTGGCCTACGACAGCCAGCAGGGCCGCCTGGTGGTGGGCGTGGTGCGCTGCGCTCACCTGGCCGCCATGGACTCCAACGGATACTCGGACCCCTTCGTTAAAGTGTATGTGCCTCCCGTTTACCGGCCACACATATCTCCAGAGCATAAGGAGATATGTGTCGTCTTACGTTGTTGTAAAGAATGTCGTATGACAAATGTGAATTGTTTGTAGGACGACAAATATACAGTATGTATATACATTTTTTTCTTTGAGGGGCAGGATAATCTAGTGGTTATGGTGTTTGGCTCCCAGCTGAAAGGTTCTGGGTTCGAACCCCAGTGTCTAGTTTTGAACAAGATACCTAACATCTGCTCATTAATTCATCTAAAAGAAGAAGACATTTTTTGGGCTTAAAACGTCTGCTAACACGTATTTGAAGTATTGCATGTGTCATATTGCACTGCATATACGCCTTTGACCAGAGATTGCATTGATTTACATGGTACACACAGTAGTTTCTCATGGGTTGTCTCGTGGTCTCGGTGCAGATGTCTGAAGCCAGATATGGGGAAGAAGGCCAAGAACAAGACCCAGACCAAGAAGAAGACCCTGAACCCAGAGTACAACGAGGTCAGGCTCCAGACTTGATTTGTCACCCATTTATCCCCCATAACATCCTCCGAAAGTGTCGGTTGGTGCCGATGATTTAAATCCTCTTACGATTGTGTTACAGGAGTTCAGCTATGAAATAAAACACGGTGAGTTAGCCAAGAAGACCTTGGATATCTCCGTCTGGGACTACGACATGGGAAAGTCAAATGACTTCATCGGTACGTAGCTTAAAGGGACATTTCGCCACATTTCGTGTGGATGTCCAAACAGTGTTGAGTAGTAATGGAGTCAATTGAAGCAATTCATTTCACAAGGTGCGCTGTATTGACTGAGAAACCTCTGTTGGCCTGCTCACAAAGCAGTGCTGGCAATGTACCAGGAGGCATTGGGCATTGTGCCTGGTCTGGGTTTTCCAGGTTTTCCTCTTCGGGATCCTGAAGAGGTTATCCAACACGCCTCTTTATCCGTGTGAGGCGTTAAAACTTTCATGCGTAGAAGCTAAGGCGCACACACCAGCTGTCTTACGGTTGGCGTCGGCAACAGCATCCAACCAAAACTGCATCAAAATGACTTCCTTGTACCGACTCTGCCGAAGAACATTTAGCGCGCGGATTCCATGTGAGTCGGTCAGGACAGAGTTGGTGGATAAAATAACAGTGAAGCGCCATACAAGTCCTTCACAAAATGTCTGTGCTACATTGCCATTGTTTACATTCGTGGCAGGCGCGCGCACGCTAACTGCGCTTCGACAGAATTGGTAGAAGGAAGTAACTTTGCCACATTATTTTGGTAACGGAGGTTCAAGTGAAGCCAGGAGAGCCGGTGATGATAGGTTTGACCACCCAGACCGGTATTAGTCCTTTAACACGTGTGTGCATTAAATGAATTGATCCATTAATCAAATGAATCATCCAGCCACCCATCTTCGTCATCTATCCTTCCATCAATCACCTATCGATTCAGCTATAAATCCATCTATCTATCATCCATCCGTCCATTCATTTGTCCATCCCTCCGTCCATTCAACCATCGTTCGTCCACCCAACACTAAATGCCACATCCATCCATCAATCAATCACGCATCCATCCGTTCAGCTGTCGCTCAAACATCCATCCATCTATTCTTCCATCGTCCCTACGCCCATCCGTCCACACATCTGTCCATCCAATCCATCCATCAATGTCTGTCTGTCACTACATCCATCCATCATCCATCCATCCATCCATCCATCCATCCATCCACCATGTCACCTGGTAACTGACTCCCCCCCCCCCCCCCCCCCACCTACCTCCAGGCGGCTGCCAGCTGGGCATCCAGGCGAAGGGGGAGTGTCTGAAGCACTGGTACGAATGTCTCAAGAACAAAGACAAGAAGATCGAGCGCTGGCACGTTCTCCTCAACGACAACCCCGCTCAGTTCGAGGACTGAGACGCTCCTCCTCCTCTATCTGTCCTATATCTCATCTCAGTTACAGTGACAGGTGTCCGTTCTCTTCTCTGCCCTGCGTGAGCTTTTATTGTGAAGCTGGCCCCCGGGTTTGTGTCCTCCTTACCTTACCTGTGGCGTTCTGAGGCAGGATGTGTGCATGCATGTCTAGAATGGATGCTGACCCCGTTGCTCATTAATATTACCGCGGTTTTCAGTTCCGCCGTACGATTTGTTTTAACCTAACGTGTCGAGAACGATAATTCGCTTTTGTGTCCTTGACTGTCGGAGGGTATGTTGTGAAGCGTGTCTCTTACCTCGTGTCTACCTCCGAAGGTGATCTCTTGCGCTCTTACTGTGAAATGAGAAGATCATGTACTGTGCAATAATGTAATATAATGTCCTATAACGTGCTATGCTATGTCACACCTCGTTTGAGTCCATATTTGTTCGACTAAGTAGTCTGTATTAAGATAGCATATCTGGTCCGTTATATTCATTCTGGAAATACTGTAGCTTGTTAGCGACCAAAAATAGGTTGGGTCTAGTTAGTGTTAAAAGATTAAAAGGCATTCGAATGAATTGACTAGCCTAACTAGTAGCTCCTGCTAAACGCTTCTGCAACTAACTGCATGACTTTCTCTCTCTCTCTCTCTCTCTCTCTCTCTCTCTCTCTGTCTGTCTCTCTCTGTCTCTGTCTCTGTCTCTGTCTCGGTTGCCCTTGCTCTTTCTGTATTCAATCATCTTTGTCTGTTTCTCTCTGTATTATGTCATTCTCTCTCTATCTCTCCATTCCCTCACCTCCTAAAAAAGATGCCTGAAATATTTGATGAATGCATCCTACTGCATCTTGTGAACATATTTAAAAAAACGTTGATAGGGAGTTTATGGAAACGGTCTATGGCTGCATATGATCAAAGACTTGCGATCTGTAGTGACATTTCAAAATCGTCTTTCATCATTCATTTTTCACTCTTGGTATGGATATAGATATGTATTGTTTGATTGTATGTGTTTAGGCACACCAATAATGTAGCATACATTCTTGTTGGTAAATAAAAACATTGTGCAATCACTAAATTGTCTGTGCTCTGACATCTTTTAGATTTCACACTACTACTACTACTACCACTACCACTACTACTACTACCACTACTACTACTACTACTACTACTACCACTACCACTACTACTACTACTACTACTACTACTACTACCACTACCACTACTACTACTACTACCACTACGGTAACACTTTACAATAAGGTACGCAAAACGTGGGTAGTTACTGAGGAACGAATGAGTAACGAATGATGAACGACCAGGGCCCTAACTGGGGCCCTAACAAGGCCCTAACAAGCCTAAGTGACAGTTACTCAGTAACTACTGAGGAATTAACTGTCACTGTAACTGTCACTTAGGGCCCCAGTTAGGGCCCTGGTTGTTCATCATTCGTTACTCAGTAACGAATACAGTAGTCCCCTAGTCTGTTTACCAGTAATTCCTCAGTAGTTACTGAGTAACTGTCACTTAGGGCCCTGTTAGGGCCCTGTTAGGGCCCCAGTTAGGGCCCTGGTCATTCATCATTCGTTACTCATTCGTTCCTCAGTAACTACCCATGTTTTGCGTACCTTATTGTAAAGTGTTACCACCACTACCACTACCACTACTACTACTACCACTACCACTACCACTACCACTACCACTACTACTACTACCACTACCACTACCACTACTACTACTACTACTACTACTACTACTACTACCACTACCACTACCACTACCACTACTACTACTACTACTACTACTACTACTACTACCACTACCACTACTACTAATACTACTACTACTAATAATAATAATAATCAATAGCATATTTGTATATTACATATATTTATCTTACTTTTTCAAACTGTGCCCCTCAAAAGCACATAAAAGTATAAATCTGAGTATTAACTGAAACTGTGCATGTGTGTTTTCTTTTCGGACAGCGCATGTACACTGCAAACCACCATAAACTAAGCAGACAAAACAACCATTAGATATAGTAAAACTATAAAGGAGGAGGGGGCTGGCCTGGGACTTTGTTTCAATCAGGTGAGGATTGGACCAATAGGCAGCCGAAGACACGTAACTGACAGCAGGGTGAACTTTGTATAGGTCAATAAAACTATTCCTCGTCCGCACTCTTCCTTTCCAAGTCGGTTAAAGTTCATTGCCTTTTAATAATCAGGCCATATATCAATTTAAAGGTGATGTTATGTTTACATCCTGTTCATTTAAATTCCTGCAATACTATTATTATGAATAAAGGCCTATGTGTAGTTGCATACTGTCAGTTATGTATAGAGCTAGTACATGACTATTGTAGGCTAATTTATTTTTGTTATTTAGGTCTAGGTCCAAAAACTCCTCCTCATTCTCTCTTCCTTTGCCAGTAGGTCAAAGTTGATTTGCTTTCAATAATCAAGTCAAATATCAATTTAAAGCTGACGTCATGTTTACATCCTGTTCATTTAAATTCCTGCAATACTATTAGATGAATGAGTAGGTCTATGTGTAGTAGGAGTAACACATCAGGGAAATGCATTTCCAAATGTTATATTTGAAAAACATAGCACTTTAAAATTAAAATTAAATAAATATAACAGCATTGGAATACATTTACTATCAAAAGGCAGTATATACGACTATAGTATTGTTATTATTTTTACAGTTATTTTTTTAATTGCAAAAATAGAGAACTGATTTTTTGGAGATGGATGTAAAGTCTGGTTATTTATTATTATTATTATTATTATTATTATTATTATTATTATTATTATTATTATTATTATAAGCTGTTCTATTAATTCATGGAATTCAAATAAAATAGATGACCAAATGCTATTGGAAAATGATATTGATTAAACTGTCTTAAATAACTTTTGGACAGTTTTGACATTTATTTCACACTCTCTTCCGGTCATTGTGATCAGCTATTAGCCGATGTGTACGCGCGTGCGCGTGCTTATCAATTAACACCACTGATCCATATGGCTCCTTTAATGAACTATAGCCTGGAGAAGGAGCTCAGAAAGTCGGCCAAACAACACAACACACAAAACGTGAGGGGGAAGAGATGTTGTTCACTTTATCACTCATCACCAGTGTCATCACCTGTGTTATCACCAGAGTTATCCCTAGTGATGACACTGGTGATAACACTAGTGATGTCACTAGTGGGCCAACACGTGTCTACTAGTGTTTGGGTGGAGCTCGAGATCATACGACGTCTGCGCCGCGTGCAGCAGATTATTTTCCCGCCCCGGGAACCCC